AGAGAGGAAGAAGCATGGAGAAGAGAGAGAGAAAGAATAAGAAGAAGAAAGAAGAAGGATGAGCAAGTAGGAGGAAAGGAGGAAGAAGATGAAGTGGGTCTGGGTTTGCAGAGGTAAGGGAAAAGGAAAGGTAAAGGAGAGAGAAAGTGAAAGAGGAAAAAGAGATGACGTGGATGAAAAAAAAAATATCATTATTTTTAAATTAAATAAAAATGCCAACTCATACAAAAGATGGCCAACTATACTATGTTTTTTTCCATGTCATTAGTTAAGAGAAAAAGAAATGATTTGCTAATAAGTTAACGTGACATCTGTCATTTAACTGACAGAATGACTTTTTTGTTATCGAAAATGAAAATTGAGAGATAATTTTGGTACTTTTTAAAGTTGAGGAACAATTTTGGTGTCAAAGTGGAAGTTGAGGGACTAAAATGGTACTTAAACCTTAATTGTGCTATCTTTATCGTAACTAAAATAATGATTTGTTGTCATGAATGTAAATTAAGTTAGTTAGTATTAATTTTAGTAACTCAATATTTGTAACAAACAGTGACTAATCAAATTTTAAATACAAATATAATTTGTAACAAAAAATTTTAATTTTTATGACTAATTTTATTGTCATAGAAAACCTGTTTCCTTATAGTGTACTCTATAATACTTATTGATACAATTATTAAAATGTGTAGATTTTAGTTTTATTGCCTTTAATTTAAATTTAAAACTAATGTTTTTATAAGAATATTATGAGATATATTGAATTAAAGAGTGTACTAATCAGTGTACTTAAATGGTAAGGTGTTTGAGAAGATTATTTCATTAGTTGAAAAATGACTGTACATATTTTTATTAGCTATATTAATTATATTAATTATTTGTTATCCACTAGCAATTATTGATTATCAAAACATTGTTGTGTAATTTGGATTACATTGAATTACACAATAAATATCATTAAATGAGAGCAAGCCCTTGATTTTGGAACCTCCCTATCCAACCATCCTTGTTTCATAGTATAATGTAATTCAAACGGTAGAATAGAAAAGTCATTGATTATTAATTCAAATTAATTCTAACTACTCCCACCACCAACATGGCAACATGCAAGGGTGGTTTACATTTGTTCTGTAGTTGGCAGTATTTGCAGCCGAATCTAAATCTTGAAATTAAGAAGGAGAAGGACGTGCACGGTGAAGAGAACAACGGACAAAACAACGGTGGGTACACATTCGAAACAGCCCACAAAGGCATTGGGGCACACCAAAACCACTCGTGTAGCATGATCCGTCCATGTGTCATGATGTCAATTCGAGAGGATAGGACGTGACAAAGAGTACTCCTAACTTCCAGACTAGTCTGCTTCGAATGATGTTAAGATATGTAAATCAGACAATATCCTTTGAAAGAGTCGAGTTTAAGGGCCCAACACAAGGATGAAATCACATGTAAGAGACGTTTTGTTGTTGCTTTCACACACGAACATTCAAAATGGGTCTGTTTTCAAATTTGAAGCTTTAAGCTCTGTTTGGTTAGATGTTGGGAGGAGGTGATAGTTGATGATAAATATTTGATAACTGATTTTTGTTTTTATTTATAATTTAAATATTATCTATTGTTAGATATTGATTATTAATTATAAACTGCTCAAAATAATTAAATAAGGATTTGTTTGACAATACTTTTACATATATATATATATATCTTTTTTAGATAATACTTTATTTAAAAATGTAAAATTTTAATTTTTAATGTCAAAATAATACTTAAACTTTGAATATAATACCAAATTAGTCCTTAAACTCTGAAGACAAGTACTAGCTTAGTCCTTAAACTTTGATTACAAATATCAATTTAGTTTTTCAATTTTGATATATATCAACTTAATATGTAAATAAAAATATATCATAATAATAAAATATAACTATTTAATTTTACACGTTATTAGTATTAAAAAATTATTTTTAATAAAATAA